ATGCAAACGACAATAATAAAAAGCATTTACAATCAATCTTTTTTTTATAAGTATAACAAGCCATATTCTATAAAAAATAAGGTTTGGAATTATTTGTATGCGCAGATATTCGCATACAAATAACTCCGAACTTAAAAACTTTTAACTCCTCAATTAAATATCTTTAATTAACACACTTTTATAATTAATAATTTTAAGTTATTTATTATAAAAGTGATTTATTTGAAGAGATAAGTAAAACAAAAAAAAAACTGAAAAATTTATAGGTTAATTAGACGTTTTTCTTCAAACAGAAAGATAATGGAAAGCTTTACAATAAATAGATATTTGCAAAATCTTAATACAGTAAAGAGAAATGGAACTTGCATTGCCAGCCAAAAATCTGTTCAATGGGCAAAAGATCGCATTGCAGCCTATAAACGAACATTACGTTCAAACGCTAGTGAAGATGAGAAACAATTTTTTGCAAAACGAAAAGCCGAACCATCAATCAACTTCAACAATGACATCATAACCTCAGCTAAAAAATACAAAGTAGTCGACAGTGTGATGAATCCTGAAGAATCAAAAAAAAGAAATTGATTTGAAATTTGCAAATTTCTTTTTCTAAACTGGATAATATCTTCGTCTTGTTGAATCTGAAGCTTTTAAGGATTTGATCAAAACACTTAATCCATCGTATGCATTATCAATACCGTGCCAAAACGCTGTCTGGTTGCTAAAATGATAATACACCAAAGATAATGGAGCATCATCATTTTTAAGTCTTCCAATGATGGTAGAAGAGTATTCGATATCTTTCACGAGTTTTGCTAAACTATCCCAGAAAGTATTTTATTTACTTAGGGTCAAAACAGCGGCCATTTGTTTTTGGAGCAATATCTTTCAAAGATGCATTTTTCTCATATGCAAGTTAAATCAAAATATAATTTGCCATACAATGGTTGTTCATTGAATTAAATTGACTTAGCCATTGAGTCGAAACAGGTATTGTTAGTGAGCAAGGAATATTAGCTGCAGTTCTCTTTTCGTCAAACTTTGCTTTAACAATGTGATAATTTTTCACAAATTGATAACTTTCTCAACTTCTTTGATGGTCTTTGAACTTTTAGCAATATTCAAAATGTCCTTAACGAGAAAGTATGATCGCCACGAATATTTGTCATACAAAGGTTTGTACTGACCCAAAACCGCTGTTTTGACCCTAAGTAAATAAAATACTTTTTGAGATTGGCAAAACTTGTGAAAGATATATCCTTCTAACATCATTGGAAGACTTTATAATGATGATGCTCCATTATCTTTGGTGTATTATTATTTTGGTGAAATGTACAAGAAATTCGCAAATGAGGAAATTATTCAGGAAATAGTTATGAAGCGCTTTAAATTCCTAAATAGGCTGACACCGAAGTATGCTGCAGAAGGATTATATTTTAGTTTGGAAAAGACTGATACAACCATTTCAATTTCAGAATTAGTCTCTAAAACAAATCCAACAATTGCTGAGACAGTTGAAAGTGAAATGATATAATTTGTTGGAAAAATGACGACACTGACAGAAAAAAAGAAAAGAGACAACTTTCAAAATGAGCGCAAAGAATTATTGGAACATTGTTGGTCGTTAGAAATATCCAGCAGTCTTTGAAGTTGCAAAATCTATTATTGAAATGATTAGTTCGTCAGCAACAGCAGAGGAAACTTGGTCAATTTTTTGATTTATTCATTCACGATTGAGAAATTGCTTGAAAAACGAACGCGTAAAAAAATTAACTTTAATATATACCAATAGTGTTTTGATGGATACAAACAACAAAAATGACTTCATTTTAGAGGAAGGAGCAGCTCACAGCGAGTTTGAGTGTGAAGAAATTATAAATGAGTAAATGTAATACAAAAATAAATTAAATTGTTAAGGTTTGAATATTTTTTTTGAAACTTAAGTATGTTCTAGAAATTCGTTTAAAAATTATGAAAATAATTTGAAATATTTACTAATAAAATTAGTTACAGAAAATTAAATGAAAAATTATTTCTTTTAATTTAAAGTCACCTGCGTTTGATTTAAAAAATATTTTCTTTTATATTTGACAATATTTAATTAATTTCACATAGCATTCATCTGTTAAACTTATATGCGCTTCATATGCACATTATGCGCATAGTTATGCGCATAACTTTTAAATGGTATGCGCATTTATTCGCCGATATGCGCTTAAGTTCCGAACCCTAATAAAAAATTATCTTTGAGGCCATCATTTTTAGCTAAGTATTTGGAAAATGCATCTGCTACACTATTTTATTGACGCGTATATCAAGTAGTCGGAGCCAATGTGTACTATGAGGTGGAATGCGTATTATTTCCATAATCATCTCTACTGCTAATTCAATTGCTTCAACAGTCGCATGACTTTTTTGACTATTCTAAAATAATAATACCTTTTTTTCCATCCACTTTTGTACGAAACTTATTAAAATGATGTAAAAAGTCAATAAAAATCTCTTTATCAAAATACCGCTTTTACACTTATTTTTTTTTACACTTTTTTCACTTATATAGTCGAATACTTTTTCGGTCCAAGTTGGTCCAGTAATTTGAGACTTGAAATACATTGTTCAATATGTTTATTATCAAAAGAAATTTAGTTTATAATCCGCAGATGTCCGCTAGCCCTCTTATAATGATTTTTACGAGTTAAATGATGTATCCAATTTTATGTGGCCAAAAAATGTATTTTACTCTAAATGGTTATGTAATAATTGGGTTTCAGTGAGACTAGATTTGTGTTACAAA